GCCGTGGGTTTACTCAAAATGTATTTGCATTTGTTTGTTAAACACTGATAAATTAATGGAGATGATTGATTAGGGCGCGGTTGTGGAACAAGGAACAATTTTACATTCTTGTCTTGAGAATGTTCCCCCCGACAAATTGAGAAATAACATTAAATTTGGGAACAGGCGTAAAAATGTAGAAAATTTTCCTAAGACAAGACTCAAACCATTATTCCCAGTTCCCTTTTTTTTATCCGGCTATGTTAAAAAAGCCTTGAATTAACGGATCGTTAGAAGACATTTAAATCCACCATATTTTTAAAGCTCCGCGAAATAAAAAATAATTATGAAAATAAAATCCAAAAAATTTGGAAGAGAATAAGGACAAATAGAATTGCTCCTTGGTTGAGTATTACAAGAATAATAAATATAAACAGAAATATTATGATCATTGCTAGTAGTAATAGAATTAACCGACAGATTTAGAAGGTACTTCATGTAAACCCAGTAAACTGTCTAAAACGCAAGAAAACGCCAATGATCAAGCCACGTTAAGAGGGTGACGCGAGTTTTACCGATCAGAGTTGGCTCGGCTTTGTAAACCGAAATAGATCGAAATCAATGTAGTCTCAGATCCAAAACTGCACAACGAGGGAAACAGGCATACGTAGAATGATTTTGTTAAATGTCATTCTTTCAGGGAGGAAGCCAAGATGAAGAAGTGTCTGAAGAATCTGATCCATTCTGACTGCACTATTTCCCATACTGGCCGAGAAGTGTTGGACTTGAGCTTCGCTGATTACAATCCTTTCTGCGCAAACAATCGGGACCCTGGGGCGACCGGAAATGATCAGTGCCATGGCGTGAAAGACATCAGTGGACCCGCTGGCATTAATGCAGCCGCTGGCATTAAACCTGGTGTAATGCAGGCGCTGTTGTTAGTTTTCATGTCCATTTGTTTCTTTTTCAACTGTTAAAGAGGTTTCCTTCTTCATCATTTTATTCCAGCTTATAAACATTTTTAGTCAAGTTTAATAAGTTTTTGGATCGGCGAAGCATTTGAATTAACTGTAAGCTTATCT